ATCATAGCCCTTGGATTGGTAGAAACTAGGGTTTGGTTAAGTTAATACACTCTAAAAGGTAGTCTGTAGTCATAAGATGTTAAGTCAGACACAGAGATGGACAAGGAATGGCTATTTAGGGGGCTAAAGATGACCCAAGATAAATTGTAATTAGGCTCTGGACCAGCAACATTCCAAACTCTACAGTCACTGAAATTCTACTCAGTTGATAAGCGTTGAAGAAGGTTCAATGTGAAGATGCAAGGTTTTTTTCTGGGAACTTTCATTTACTGGTTAATTATGGAAATATGGATGAGGGATTACTTATAGGAGCAGGAATGACTCAATGACAGCTGCATCACCAAAAGCCCCCCCCCAACACAGCTCACAAAAGCAGGATTGCACTGCGCAACCTGCGGGGAGCTTGACAAGGTAGAGAGTGTCTGTTCCAGGCAGCTCAACTGGTCTGAGAGTGTCTCTCAGGAGTCCTGGGGCTTCTATAGCTTGGAAATAAGGGAGTCTAATGTACCTGGTGAGTTTCAAGGACTTCCTGAAAACTTTTGAGTTGTTTACTTCCTTAGCTTAAGGATCTTCCCTGCAGGATGGAATTTTCACCCCCCCTTAGAACATTCTGTGTCTTAAGGCTTGTCCCTCTGAGATGGAAGGTTTTACCTCCGAGATGGAAGGTTTCACCTCAGGTTTCTCCACAGTAGTGGTGGAGAGTGCTGGAAGGTCAGGACTATCAGGCAGAGCACCATTGTGGAGATGAAGGTAGATGAGCAGGCCAGGTGGAGTACCATGGAGAGTAAAGACAGTCACTGCATGGGTTGGGGGGTGGATGGGCCCTGCTGTGAGACACTGTCTACTCAAGGTGCTGAGAATTCCAGAGGCTGAGAGAATATAGGGTGAAGCTTATGGTGAGAAGAAAAGTCCACATGGCAGAACAGTCTGTTAAGATATTGGAGTCAATAAGGCAAATCTAAATTAAAATTAAAGAATACCAAATGGCAAAACAAAACAACAAAGAAATGGGTTAAGGTTTCTATCAAAATGAACAGGCATTTTTTTCCAAACCTTAGGATGGCACAGGAGGACTTCAGAGTCTGCTAGTTATCTGAGCTGTAGGTCTCATTGTGTAAACTGAGGATGAACCTGTCACAAATGAGGAAGTCTACCAGAGTTCTTGGTGATGATGTGTTCTGGAACATAGTCTTTGGATGCTCTTCTCAGGATGGTACCAATGGCTTGCTTACTCTTTCAAGGTTCCAGCCTTTGAAGTTTGTGACTTCTGGTTTCAGATATAATTTTAGCTAAGGTAGCATTTAAGATGTTGAACCTTGTAATATTCTATTTTCACAGTTATAGCTGGAGTCATGGTAGGATAAGTTAGCTTTAAGCTTCTTTAACTGCTGTAATAGAGGTTGTGAGAATTACCTTTCTGTAGAATCCTCAAATTTGAGGGGCTGAAGCTGCAGCTAGCTTTCTCCTCTCTTCTCTTTCATGGTAGCATAGAGCCTGTGGAGTGGTACCCAAGCCATTATAGGCACACCTTTTATGAATCCTATCAGTAACGCCAAGAAGAGGGTGTAGGATCCTCTGCAGCTGGACTTACAGGTGGCTGTGAGCCACTTGACATGAGTGCTAGACCTGAAACTAGGGTCACTGGAAGAGCAGGAAGTGCTTTTACCACTGAGCCATCTCTCTAGCTTGTAACTTGAGGCTCTTGAGCAGGAGCTTTGTAGATGACAACGCTGCACTGCAGTGCTGGACATGTCTACAGGTTTTCACTGCCTTCTTTTAGGGCTATTCCCATACACAAATAGCAAGAAGACCCTCCTCCCTATGGTATCTGAGCCCCTGCAACCTCCACCCCCAGCGGGCCAGTTGTGGAACGTGCAAAGTACCATATGGTCTGTGATTTCCAAGAACTCTTGGGAAGAAGCTCTGAGGCAGACTCTAGAGTAGGGCTTGGAGATATGGGGAGCATTTGGGAGGAAGTTAAAGAAAAGGTGGTTTCCTGAAGCCAAATGTAGCTACAGGAGAAACCTGCATGCAGTTGATTTGTTGGACTTCCATATTCCTGCCTCTGGAGTCTACACCCAGGGTCAGTTATTTCTCCATTCAGATTCATCTGCTTCTGATTTTAGTCTTAGATGATGCCATTGAATTTATTTCAAGCCATATAGGAGATGTAGGAGAGCTTTATAGATCTCTTTAAGACTAATGTATTCATTCATTCATTCATTCATTCATTCATTTTTCAACAAAAGCATTACCTGCTGGTGCCATTGGCGCTGGGGATGTAGGCAAGAAACACATAGTGATTGCCCTCAAGAACTTAAGGGGCGGTGACATGACAGAGATGTGAATTCATTCATTCATTCATTCATTATTCATTTTTCAACAAAAGCATTACCTGCTGGTGCCATTGGCGCTGGGGATGTAGGCAAGAAACACATAGTGATTGCCCTCAAGAACTTAAGGGGCGGTGACATGACAGAGATGTGAAGAAGCAGACATAACACAGAGAAGGAAGACAGATGGAAAGAAACACCCAGTGTTCCCATAGAACACCCTATTGCAGATTGGAAGAATCAGAGATGGATCACAGACACATGAAGGGCCACAAGAAGGAAAGGCAATAGGTTCCAATTCCAGCAATGGCAAAGTGGCTTGTTCTGGAATAAGTGTGTAGATAATGCTTATACAACCTGCATTAAATATAGAAAACAACTGTAAGAAGTATTAGAAAATAAATGTAAGCAAACACAAACGGAAGGGCTTCATCTGTCAAACTGCTTGTTATAGTTTCATTTCTATTGTTGTGATAAAATAGCCTGATCAAAAGCAACTTTAGAGAGGAAGGATTTATTTGGCTTACAATTCCAGGTCATAGTCCATCATTGAGGGGAGGCTGGAGGCAGGAATAAAAAACAGCTATTCACATAAGATCCGAAGTCAAGAGCAGAGAGAAATAAATGCGGTCCTGTTGTTTGCTCTCCCCTAGATTTCCCCAGTCTTCTATAGTTCAGGACCTCCTGCCTAGGGAGTGGTGCTGCCCACAGTGGGCTGAGTCCTCCTTCTCAGTCAACAAACAAGACAATCCCACAGACATGCCCACAGGTCAACCTCATCTAGATAATTCCTCATTAATACTCTCTTCTTAGGTGATTCCAGGCTGTGTCAAGTTGGCCCTTAAAACTAACCAGCACGCTGCTCTAACTTGGTGGTGGCTACATCGCTTTCTTGTGTGAAGTCTTCCAATCCATAAGCCTGCTATGTCTTTCCAGATGGGTTTTCTCCAATCTCCCTTTGTAATAGTTTAAAATTTTCAGGGTATTTTATTACTTTTTCACCTAGATAATTCCTCATTAATACTCTCTTCTTAGGTGATTCCAGGCTGTGTCAAGTTGGCCCTTAAAACTAACCAGCACGCTGCTCTAACTTGGTGGTGGCTACATCGCTTTCTTGTGTGAAGTCTTCCAATCCATAAGCCTGCTATGTCTTTCCAGATGGGTTTTCTCCAATCTCCCTTTGTAATAGTTTAAAATTTTCAGGGTATTTTATTACTTTTTCACCAAGTATGAATTTTTGTACTAAAGTCTTTTAAACTACTAGAGAAAGATAAAACTAGATAAACAACAATAATTACAACAGTTATAAATCATTTCTGGAACTTTCCATGAATCCTTTCGGATCATGGGTTACTGAAACCTTCGGAAGTGAAAATGCAGATAATGTTTAGGTCCTTCAGTTTGTCAGTTAAAGAAGAAAGAGGATGCTGTGTTTGAGCATGTAATACTTGCCAGACTCTAAGTGCACCAGGATGAACTGTTTTGAGGGAAAATCAGACATATCACGCTGTTGTCATACTAAGAGACGATTAGAACACAACAAGGGGTTATAGGATCACTATTTTGACCTTACAGGGAAGAGGCCAGGGAGCCACTCAAGGGACTTTAGTGTCTACTGACCTGTATTTTCCCTAGAGGGACAAAACTCTTGGTCCTTGGTCTCTTGGTTTTAGCTCTACAGCAAGTGTCTGGTGACATGAAGCTCACACGAGAGGCCACTGCACACAGCTGGACTTGAGCCTGCTGTTGTACCAGCCAGCACCCTGCTCCTTGCTGTCTGAAAATGCTGTGAATCTCAGCTGTCTTAACCATAGTTTCTGAGTGCTTTAATCCCCCTTTTCCTTTTTCTATGGGGGCATTCTAGCAGTTTATTAAGCTGCTGGCACACTGTCTCCATTTACAAACATCTTTTAATTCCTAGTAAAGTGGCAATCATGAGCTAAATCATTTACTGAAAGACAAAGGAGACCACTGAAACTGGCATTAAAACACACCTTCAGAGTTTGTAGTGTCTGACTTCTAAATATGTAACATATTGAACACTGTATTCTAGATCTCCTAAACACATTTGTTTAGTAAGCAAGGAAATATGTTAACTAGGCTTGCTAGTAACAGCACAGAAAATATAAAGTTTCTGAGGTCACTTGCTTGCCTGACATTATCCAGGCAGTTGTGCTAGGAGATGGATCTACCCTAGGAGTTCCTCAGCTGCTTAAGTGTGAAACTCCTCAGATTGCTGACTTCTGAAATCAGACAATTTTTGTTTAGTTGATTTAGTCTTATAGGATGTTGGGGGGATTCTTCAGCACTATATCTGTCTTCAGGACAATCCAAGGGCTCTCATCTGATGGTTTTTGCTTTGGAGTTGTGTGTTCAGAAGTGACATCATGGGCTGGAGAGATGGCCCAGCAGTTAAGAGCACTGACTGCTCTTGCAGAGGACTGAGGTTTGATTCACAGCACCCACATGGCAGCTAACAACCATCCATAACTCCAGTTCCAGGGGATTCAAGACCCTTTCTCACTGGTAATGCTTGTCTGCCTGCCCTCAAGGGACACCCAGTTAGTGCTTTATGAAATATCCTGGCCTTCTGTACATGCAGAAAACCATGAGCCCACAGGCAAACAAACTACAGCACCCACAACCTTTATTTTGTTTTCTTTATAGCAATACAGAGTCCTCAGAGAAGAGATTCAGAATGAACAGCTTTGTGTCGGACTTTGGAAAACCACTGGAACCCGATAAGGTGTTTTCTCGTCAGGGCAATGAGGAGTCCAGGTCTCTCTTTCACTGCTACATCAACGAAGTGGAGCACTTGGACAAGGTCAAAGCTTGTCAGCAAACGACAGCCATTGACAGTGATGTCCAACTCCAGGAAGCCATCAGAAGCAGTGGGCGGCAAGAGGAGGAGCTGAACAGGTTCATGAAGTTTGACATCCCCAACTTTGTGAACACTGACCAGAACTCCTCCTTTGGCGAGGATGATCTTCTCATTTCAGAACCACCTTTTGCTCTAGAAAATAAGCCAGTTTCTCAGATCTCACACAAAGACCTGGACTGAGAAACATAGTTCTGTTTTTCTGCAGATGTATTCTGTCTTTTTATAGCAAGAAATCTCCATCCACTAAAGTTGTGTGTGTATGTGTGTGTGTGTGTGAGAGAGAGAGCGAGAGAGAGGAGAGAGAGAGAGAGAGAGAGAAAGAGAGAGTGAGAGAGAGAAAGAGAGAGAGCTGATTAATGCCTAAGGCTGGGACTGAGTGGTAGATTTGGGGCAGAAGGCATCAACTTTTACTGGGATTTCCCTCCACACACATAGTTTTCAACCCATTTAGGATGGTTTGTTTGTTGCATTAAAATGCATTTATGTTATCTCATCTTCCTTATTGAACATTCAGCCACTTACACAAGTGAACGCTCCTAAATGAGGGTTAGGTCACTGCATTCTGATCTAGCCTGTTGCTACCATGTTCTATGCCTTTAACAAAACCACCTTATCTCCTTGGGCCACTATGCTTTTAAAGGCAAGGTGGCATGTCTTGATTAGCTGACTCGCCCCTCTAGGATCCTGTGAACTTACCACTTTGCAACCAAACAAGCTAAAGTATAATATATGTAAAACAGAGCAGTGCTTCCTAGCTTTCATTGTAGTTTTTCCCGATCTTGGTACCTTCCACTCAGCCCTTTAGGAAGTTACACTTTGGTTAGAGGATCTTTACCAGGGTATCAAGAGACTCACACAAAACTGTGGGTAAAGTTTCTGCTGAGTTAACCTGAGAAACTCCAACCATTTGTGCTCAAACCTGGTGATAGCTCTGACCCCAGTGAGTACCAGCCTAAGGTATCTCACAGGTATTTGTGTTCTCAAGAAATATAGGGTAGGTTGTCCTCTGGCTGATGCTGGTTCTTCTGGGTGTGCTGTGTTGGTGTCTCTGTGGTCACACTGCTGAACTACTGGCTTTAGAATAATAAACTACCATCTGCCATGCTGTCTGCTTCCTTGGCAGATGTGCAGGCTTCCTCTGGCTTGGAGCTGAGATGATCAGTGGGTTGTATATATCTCAGTAATAGGTATTCAGGGTGATATGTTAATGTGAGCAACATGGAGTTCATGTTACAAAGGAAGCAACCCTTCTTGATGGTATTGGAAACAACTTGGTTTTGCAGTTGTCTGCATGGCCAACTCTAATCTTGGAGTAGCATTTTCACTATGAGTTGTCTTGCTTAAGCTACAAAATAAATGTATTTGCACAGGATTTTTCTCTGGTTTTAATACAATCAATTTTTCATTCCTTTAAAAGGCTGCATCATGTTGTCAATGTCTCCTGAGCATGTGTGCTGATTCTATCATCTAAGGGATCCTAGTAATCAGAGCCATGCACAAGTTTCATTTAGAAATTACTCCATGAAAATACATTCCTTTACTGTCCTTTCTTAACATTTTAAAAAAAATATTTTTATTTTATGCGTATGATTATATTGCCTGCAAGTGTGTAAGTGTACCTGTATGATGTGCATTGCCCATGGAGGTCAGAAGGGGGCATTGGATCTCCTGGAACTGGAGTTACAGAGGGTCGTTAGCTGCCATGTGGGTGTTGGAAATTGAACCCGGGTCTTCTGCAAGAGAAGCTTGTGTTCTTAACTGCTGAGTCATCTCTCCAGCCCCACAAAACAATTTTAAAAAGTAATTTCAGTTTAAATTCATTTACCAACAAAACTACTTCTGAATGGTTGTAAAACCATTTATAGTCTTATTCCATGTCAGCTAAAAATGTGAGTGGTTTGCGGTAGACCTACTGATGTTTGATTATGAGGTGCTGTCATAGACCTCATCATGGCTATCAGGCTATCATAAGTTATACTGACAACACAAATGAGAAAGTCCCCAAATTTCAAAAAGTCTCTAGTCTCAAAGGACTTCACATAAAGGAGGCTGAGGGAAGGCAGAACTGTGTGGTGACTTAATACCACTATCCATTATCCATTATTTGCTTAACTAATTATAAATAATGGGCTATTTCTTAATTATGGTTGAAAGATATTTAAGAGATAACTTATTTAGAAGTAGATAAGCTGGAAGACTCATAATATTTATTATATTTTATTTTATGTGTATGTGTGTATTGCCTGCATGCAGGTTGTGCATGCATGTAAGTGCATGCCCATGTCAGAGGAGGGTGCAGGATCCCCTGAAACTGGAGTTAAGGACAGTTGTTAGCTGCCATGTAGGTGCTGGGATTCAAACCCAGGTCTTCTGCAAGAACAACCAGTGTTCTTAACTGCTGAGCCATCTCTACAGCCCCAAGACTCAGAATATTTAAGAGTAGGAAAAATGTTTGCGAGTATATGATAACTTTAAGAACTAAATATTAAGAACCATGAAGAAAAGGCTGGAGAGAATGGCTCAGTGGTCAAGAGCACACTAGCTGCTCTTGTGGAAAACCTGGGTTCAGTTCCCAACACCCACATGGTAGCTAACAACCACCTACTCCAGTCACAGGAGATCTGATACCCTCTTTCTGGCCTCCATGGGCATGGCACACATGATGCACTTACATAATGCAGTTAAAGTACTCATATACCTAAAATACAAATAAATATAAGTACTCAAGATTTTAAAAAATATTTGTTATTTATATTTTATGTGTATGAATGTATTGCCTGCATGTATGTGAGTGCA